GTCCACGAAGTCGAGCATAGCTTTCTCATCCGGACTCCAAATCAACTGGTTCCGGCGGCAATATAAAGCTATTTCAGCTGGCTACAATTCCTGTCTAACAGCAAAAATCCAAATTCGGACTCGAACATGGTCAAAATTGGATTCCAAAAGCGATCATGAAAATACGTACTACAGTTCGACGACATGAATGCGCATCAAGAAACGTGCACAAAAACTCTTGCTAGAAAGGTACGCACATAAGTAAGAGTACAAAAGCATGCACAAAAGTACTCACGCAAATGTGCATTCGCTAAAAGGATCATGAAAACACAAACTACAATCCTAGGACATTAATACAAATCAACAAAGATGCACAAGCACACTCGCTCAAATGGACATGCACAAACGTAGATGTAAAAAAACATGCGCAAAAGTGCATTCGCAACAACGTTCTTAAAAACACGAACTACAATACTAGGACTTTAATACGAATCAACAAACAACAGCAAAAGCATTAGATAAAAAAGATACAGTGGAGTGTAGAAATAAAACTCTACGTTTACGTTAACGGGGATATATTTTTTTTTGGATTAATTTATATTTCTGTTTGAATAGGTGGATTTGGTATCTTATAGGTACAAATCGAAAATTAGGTGTCCAGGAAGCAAAAATGATCAAAGAGTAAGAAAAGAGTTGCAATTAGGAAAATAAAATCAAATAAGAAGAGAGAATCCCTCAACATCTTTGGTAGTGTACGTCCACGAAGTCGAGCATAGCTTTCTCATCTGGACTCCAAAGCAACAGGTTCCGGCGGCATTATAAAGCTATTTCAGCTGGCTTAAATTCCTATCTAACAGCAAAAATCCAAATTCGGACTCGAACATGGTCAAAATTGGATTCCAAAAGCGATCATGAAAATACGAACTACAGTTCGAGGACATGAATGCGCATCAAGAAATATGCACAAAAACTCTCGCTAGAAAGATACGGTAAGAGTACAAAAGCATGCACAAAAGTACTCACGCAAAAGTGTTTTCGCAAAAAGGATCATGAAAACACAAACTACAATCCTAGGACATTAATACAAATCAACAAACATGCACAAGCACACTCGCTCAAATGGACATGCACAAATGTACATGTAAAAAAACATGCGCAAAAGTGCATTCACAACAACGTTCTTAAAAACACGAACTACAATACAAGGAGTTTAATACGCATCAACAAACAACAGCAAAAACACTAGATAAAAATGATACAGTGGAGTGTAGAAATAAAACTCTAAGTTTACCTTTACGTGGATTTTTTTTTTTGGATAAATTTATATTTCTGTTTGAATTGGTGGATTTGGTATCTTATAGGTACAAATCGAAAATTAGGTGTCCAGGAAGCAAAAATGATCAAAGAGTAAGAAAGGGTTGCAATTAGGAAAATAAAATCAAATTAGGAAAGATACACACATAAGTAAGAGTACAAAAGCATGCACAAAAGTACTCACGCAAAAGTGCATTCGCAAAAAGGATCATGAAAACACAAACTACAATCCTAGGACATTAATACAATACAACAAACATGCAAAAACACACTCGCTCAAATGGACTTGCACCAACGTACATGTAAAGAAACATGCGCAAAAGTGCATTCGCAACAACTTTCTTAAAAACACGAACTACAATACTAGGACTTTAATACGCATCAACAACCAACAGCAAAAACACAATATAAAAAAGATACAGTGGAGTGTAGAAATAAAACACTACGTTTACGTTTACGTGGATATTTTTTTTTTGGATTAATTTATATTTCTGTTTGAATTGGTGGATTTGGTATCTTATAGGTACAAATCAAAAATTAGGTGTCCAGGTAGCAAAAATGATCAAAGAGTAAGAAAAGAGTTGCAATTTGGAAAATAAAATCAAATTAGAAAAGAGAATCCCTCAACATCTTTGGTAGTGTACGTCCACGAAGTCGAGCATAGCTTTCTCATCTGGACTCCAAATCAACAGGTTCCGGCGGCATTATAAAGCTATTTCAGCTGGCTTAAATTCCTGTCTAACAGAAAAAATCCAAATTCGGACTCGAACATGGTCAAAATCGGATTCCAAAAGCGATCATGAAAATACGAACTACAGTTCGAGGACATGAATGCGCATCAAGAAATGTGCACAAAAACTCTCGCTGGAAAGATACGGTAAGAGTACAAAAGCATGCACAAAAGTACTCACGCAAAAGTGTTTTCGCAAAAAGGATCATGAAAACACAAACTACAATCCTAGGACATTAATACAAATCAACAAACATGCACAAGCACACTCGCTCAAATGGACATGCACAAATGTACATGTAAAAAAACATGCGCAAAAGTGCATTCACAACAACGTTCTTAAAAACACGAACTACAATACAAGGAGTTTAATACGCATCACAAACAACAGCAAAAACACTAGATAAAAATGATACAGTGGAGTGTAGAAATAAAACTCTACGTTTACCTTTACGTGGATTTTTTTTTTGGATAAATTTATATTTCTGTTTGAATTGGTGGATTTGGTATCTTATAGGTACAAATCGAAAATTAGGTGTCCAGGAAGCAAAAATGATCAAAGAGTAAGAAAAGGTTGCAATTAGGAAAATAAAATCAAATTAGGAAAGATACACACATAAGTAAGAGTACAAAAGCATGCACAAAAGTACTCACGCAAAAGTGCATTCGCAAAAAGGATCATGAAAACACAAACTACAATCCTAGGACATTAATATAATACAACAAACATGCAAAAACACACTCGCTCAAATGGACTTGCACCAACGTACATGTAAAGAAACATGCGCAAAAGTGCATTCGCAACAACTTTCTTAAAAACACGAACTACAATACTAGGACTTTAATACGCATCAACAACCAACAGCAAAAACACAATATAAAAAAGATACAGTGGAGTGTAGAAATAAAACACTACGTTTACGTTTACGTGGATATTTTTTTTTTGGATTAATTTATATTTCTGTTTGAATTGGTGGATTTGGTATCTTATAGGTACAAATCAAAAATTAGGTGTCCAGGTAGCAAAAATGATCAAAGAGTAAGAAAAGAGTTGCAATTTGGAAAATAAAATCAAATTAGAAAAGAGAATCCCTCAACATCTTTGGTAGTGTACGTCCACGAAGTCGAGCATAGCTTTCTCATCCGGACTCCAAATCAACCGGTTCCGGCGGCAATATAAAGCTATTTAAGCTGGTTACAATTCATGTCTAACGGCAAAAATCAAAATTCGAACTCGAACATGGTCAAAATTGGATTCCAAAAGCGATCAGGAAAATACGTCCTACAGTTCGACGACATGAATGCGCATCAAGAAACGTGCACAAAAACTCTTGCTAGAAAGGTACGCACATAAGTAAGAGTACAAAAGCATGCACTAAAGTACTCACGCAAATGTGCATTCGCTAAAAGGATCATGAAAACACAAACTACAATCCTAGGACATTAATACAAATCAACAAAGATGGACAAGCACACTCGCTCAAATGGACATGCACAAACGTACATGTAAGGCAACATGCGCAAAAGTGCATTCGCAACAACGTTCTTAAAAACACGAACTACAATACTAGGACTTTAATATGCATCAACAACCAACAGCAAAAACACAAGATAAAAAAGATACAGTGGAGTGTAGAAATAAAACACTACGTTTACGTTTACGTGGATTTTTTTTTTTGGATTAATTTATATTTCTGTTTGAATTGGTGGATTTGGTATCTTATAGGTACAAATCAAAAATTAGGTGTCCAGGTAGCAAAAATGATCAAAGAGTAAGAAAAGAGTTTCAATTTGGAAAATAAAATCAAATTAGAAGAGAGAATCCCTCAACATCTTTGGTAGTGTACGTCCACGAAGTCGAGCATAGCTTTCTCATCCGGACTCCAAATCAACTGGTTCGGGCGGCATTATAAAGCTATTTCCGCTGGCTACAATTCCTGTCTAACGGCAAAAATCCAAATTCGGACTCGAACATGTTCAAAATTGGATTCCAAAAGCGATCATGAAAATACGTACTACAGTTCGAGGACATGAATGCGCATCAAGAAACGTGCACAAAAACTCTCGCTAGAAAGATACGCACATAAGTAAGAGTACAAAAGCATGCACAAAAGTACTCACGCAACAGTACATTCGCTAAAAGGATCATGAAAACACAAACTACAATCCTAGGACATTAATACAATACAACATACATGCAAAAGCACACTCGCTCAAATGGACATGCACAAACGTACATGTAAAGAAACATGCGCAAAAGTGCATTCGCAACAACGTTCTTAAAAACACGAACTACAATACTAGGACTTTAATACGCATCAACAACCAACAGCAAAAACACAAGATAAAAAAGATACCAGTGGAGTGTAGAATTAAAACACTACGTTTATGTTTACGTGGATTTTTTTTTTCGGATTAATTTATATTTCTGTTTGAATTGGTGGATTTGGTATCTTATAGGTACAAATCAAAAAATAGGTGTCCAGGAAGCAGAAATGATCAAAGAGTAAGAAAAGAGTTGCAATTTGGAAAATAAAATCAAATTAAAAGAGGGGGCAGTTTTTTTTCTACTGTTGTTTTTGAAATTAGTAAACAAAATGGGGTCGTTTTGAAGAGTGTAAGCAAAGTAAGGTTCGTCGCCACGTGGTCTGGCGACTCCAATTAGTGCCGCCACGTGGCGTGGCGACTCCAATTATTTCTGCCACGCCGGATGGCGACTCCAACAGCAGTCTTTTTTTTTTTTTTTTTTTTTTTTTTTTTTTTTTCTTTTCGTTTTTTGCAAATTTTTTTGTATTGTTAGAAAAAACATTAAAAAAAATGTATTTATGAGCATTTAAAATTCTCAATTATCTAATTCACGCAATACAAGAATACATAAACAATAAATAAAAGAAGTTTGACCAAATAAAATAGTCATACAAAATAAATATTATCAACACAATAAAAAAAGTTCTACAAAATAAAAGGTCATAAAAAGTCACTGCCTATGTCCACCAGTCCCACATGCAGGTGGTCGTCTAGTCCTCCGCTGCCTACCATCTCGACGAACGTCACGCTCTACTGGTACGTCATCAACAAACTCGGTGTCGTCCGCTGGATATGGAACAGGAGAAACATTATACTGTGGTCGAGCCCGCTCTTGGGGATTTGAGTATCCCAAGTTAAGCTCCAAATGTGGACCCCATGAAGTGAACTGAGTATCAATAGCAGGAGGATATGGGGTAGCTAGAGAATTGGACCATGGAATATCTGGAACATAATCAGTCGTAGATGGACCAAATAAATCTCTATATGTAGGTACCTGAGATGTAGACGCACCGAACATATCCATAAATCCATGTGTACCAGATAAATCATCCATACCTCCATGCATAGGAACATGTCCATAAAAAGGGGTATGTGAAGCCAATGGACCGACAACATCTTCAGCAGGAGGTACCCGAGACGTAGATGCATAATAGTTCCCCTCTCTCGTCTGTCTCACGTCATCCTCCAATTCGGCAGTACCAGAGCGTCTTCTGGTACGTCTACCTTGTGTCTGAGAAGGTATAGGAGGAATAGGAGGTATGTTGGAAGAATCAGTATCTCTACGCAAAAGTTGAGTCCCAGCTGCATACATCCGTGTAGCATTGTCCTGATACCGATCATAAATCCGATCGTCATCTCGAGACACAGCCCTAGCAGCAAGACTCATGGATATAAGCTGATTACCCTGAAATAAAAGGCATTACATGTTTAAGAACTTAAAAACTTAAAAAAAAATTGAAAAACATCGAAAGTAATGGTTATTTTGAAAAAGATACTGACCACTAGATCCAGTAAAATCGGGTCTCCGATCTGAAAACCAATATCATCAAGATTGTCAACCGGCGATATCAAACGACGCGTGTGCCTGTCATACCAATCGTAGTATCCTGGGTCCGTCTGAGGTCCACTAATCTCAATAAATGGATAGTCAGTGAAAGAATCGAGTCGAGCATGCCATCTATCAACATAGATATTGTGAAAAATAGCCCAATCTCTCCCCACAGCACCTCGACGATCATAAGAATGCAACTTTATCTCAATATCGTGATCAGTAGGATGTGGAGGAATATGCTGTATCCTCCCAAACTGGCGCAGTACCCTATCAGGACGACACATCTCAACTCTGTCGTAAAATATAAGAGGACAACTCGACATCCAAAGCTGTGGATGCACTATCTCAGGATGCTCAAGCAAAGCGCCAAACTCGGGATCGAGCTCACTATAAGGCATCCATATAAACTAGAAGAAAAGAAAAAAAAAATTAATGTACAATTAAATAAACCGCAAACATTAACGTAAATGCAGTTAACTTATAAAAACCTGATGCCAGAGCATCCGATCGAGGGTCGTACGATAAACACGTATATTGTTTCGCGAGGACCGAGCGTAACTAGCGGGTCCAATCCAACTGTAATATTGTATGAAATTTTGCTAAATCAATATTTTAAGTTGCATATTAATAAATTATAAGTACATAAAATGTTTACCGTGCACCATAAGGAGGATGGGGAAAAAAATCATCATCATCTGCTACTGCTGGATGTATTGTCGGAGCGAGTAAAGGTATCCTCGACCATGCCCAACACTAATTATTAAATATAAAAAATATTAAAAATCCAAGTATAATCAACTATTTATTTATATTTTAAAAGTGTAGAAAGACATATTACCTGTAGCAATGTAAGTGCACCACCCATGTTCACTTTTCTTTTCTCTAACTCAGCAATGCCGTCTCGATCCACAACTTTCTTCAATATAGCTCCAGTGCATAACTCACGATACAAGTACCCTAGAACTGCACTACCCCAACTAAATGTACGCACGGCACCAAGATCTTCAAAATGACGGAGATACATTAATGGAAAAGAATTTGAAGTTGTGTCAGGACACATAACCCCCCCAAGTAGCATTAATAGTAAACCTCTGGTGTGCTACTGAACACACTGCTCCGTGCTGACATCAGTAATCTCGTTATTTTTTATTAAGTCGGTCAAAACAGTCGCATAGAGTCATGAACCCCTGAAAGCACCCACTGGAGGAGCATATCCTAACCACGTCAGACAATAATCTTGCCACTGCGGTACCGAATACGGAATATCAACCCCAGTAACGGGTAATCCATCAACAGGGAGACCCCATAATAGTGCCACATCCTCTAGTGTCACTGTCGCCTCACCGGCACGGAAATGAAACGTGTGTGTCTCTGGGCGCCATCTCTCCACTAAAGCTGCAATAAGATGCAAATCTACTACGAGGCGACCACATCGATAAACTCCATAGAACCCACTATCAATCAAGTACTGTATCACTCTAGGGTGCGGTTCCTCATCACCATTAACTCCGTATAAATTCCAGATCCCACCATGAGAGCGCCTCCCGCGTACAATGCCATCCACATTTGCCGAAGTAATTGACTTGGATACGTGCTCTGTCTGACGGTATAGCAACGAAGTGTCCCGCGGTCCGTATATATACGTGACATCCATCCTGTACAATAATACAACAAATACAAAAAATACACTCAGATAACAAGTACCAAGTACAATAATAAAACACATTAAAATGAAATAACTTAATTATAAAATATGTTAGTACACTCAATGAATATAATTATTTCACAACATTAATATTAATATTATATTATATTATAATCAGAACAGTTACAAATTTTTGATAAAATATTATATTAATATTATATTGTAATGAATATAATAATATTTTAATAGCAGACAAATTAATTTTTGTAATAAATAACTAGAAATACAAAGTCCAACACGATAAATAACTAGAAAATACAAAGTCTAACACGATAAATAACTAGAAAATACAAAGTCCAACACGATAAATAAATAGAACTTATGAGTTATACGAAAAATAGCAAATACAAAGTACTAACAGAGCCTTCTTGCTTGTTCATCTCTTCTAGATTGTTGTCTCGCCCGTGTTTGTGCCACATCCATCTCATTACGAATTCTACTGCGCCTTCGATCTCCTAGTAGTGTTGGATCATGAATTAGTTCAAAATCAACCTCCTCCCAATAGTGTTCACTCAACACGGGTTGGAAACTCCCAGCATAAGTGTTCACTAAACGACTAACAGTGTAACATTCATTCACATATACGGAGGCAGACATGTTCCATTCACGGCACACATGTAGGACATGACTGCAAGGGATTCCTGTTAGGACCCACTTACCACAAGTACAAGTTCGATCCCTTAAACTCACAGTGTGTTTGTTGTTTCCACCTCCACTTGGACGAGCTCTAGTCATCACCTCAGCAGAAAGTTGTTGTTGATTAAACCGAGTCGTGAAACAACTAACGGAGTTGTCTTCACACGTCTTGTAAATGCCATAGGCATACGTGGACCACAACTGTCCATTTTGAATCATCACATTGGCACCCTCGAGACGGCCGAAAAAATATTTAACACAACGGTTGAATGTGAGATCAACAATTGTTGAGATGGGAAGTCGTCGAGTTCCCTTCAGAACACCATTATGAGCTTCTGACATGTTTGTAGTAAGTAGACCACAACGCTTGCCACCATCGTGTGCAAATGCCCATTTCTCTTTATCAATATCTATCAAGTAGTTGTAAGCTTGAACATTCCGAGATTTGATAACATTTAAAATGTGATTAAACTTCCACATTTGCGCTTCTGATCCCGCTTTGTAGCATAGATCCTTCAGATCAACACTCTTAAAATATTTGTTGAAATTGGAGCACACATGTCTCAAGCAATACCTATGAAAAACGTGAGGGGCTGCATATTCGGGTAATTCCGCTAACGCTCGTATAATTCCTGGAGCTCGATCTGAAATTACACAAACACTTTCTCCCGGTGGAATTTGAGAGATTAGGTGTCTGTGAAGCATTTGAAAAAACCATTTCCATGCCGCTGTGGTTTCATTGTCAACAAGAGCAAAAGCAAGTGGTAACACTTGTTGATTGGCGTCTAAGCAAACCGCTATTAGCAACTTGTGTTTGTACTTAGTGTAGAGATGAGTTCCATCCACACTAATAACTCTACGACAAAATTTGAATCCATCCAAACATGGCTTGAAGGCCCAAAAGAAGTATCTGATCATCTTTCGTGTTGGAATGTCTGTTGGTTTCAATACAAACTCAATTGCCGTATCCGGGTTCGTTCTATGGAGTGCCTTCATAAACTTGGGCAATTTGTTCATTGAGGACTCCCAAGTCCCGAATAAGTTCTCTCTGCAACGTTTCAAACCATACCAAGCTTGCATCCTTGAAAGTTGAAATCCCAATTGAGACCTAACCGTATTCTGTACTTGGGTTATTTTACAAGCTGGATCATCTCGAACAGATTGAACCATTAGTGTGGCAATGTAGTTCCTGTCCAAATTTCTGTGTTGGTTCGACATTTCATCCATTATGCAATTGTGGGGTCCACTATATCTCGTAATCATAAAGAAATCTTTGCCAGATTTCTCAATACCCCGCAACGACCATCTGCAAGGCCTTTCAGTTGTGCTATGCTTGCACTTGACACTCCATATCTTCTTATTACTTTCGACAACTGTAAATTCCCGTTTGGCAAACCGAATCGAATGGTCTCTCACCGCAGCACAAAGACGTTTTTTGTCCTCAAACACCATCCCGACTTCAAGAATACCTCGATCGCTCTCGTAAAACCTATCATATCGGCCCCTTCCAACATCTACAGAATCTGCCGCGACTTCTGGAAATGACATCGAGAAAAATGGAATTGACTCATACAACGTTGGTTGTTCCCCCGCTTCTGCCCCTATCCCTTCGTTGTGCTGCAACAACGTCTCTTGGACATCATGCACATCTACATCTTCTTCGTCATCAGTTTCATTCTCGGATGGTTCCGAATTCACGGGACTGTTCGGCCCAAGGGAGTCTCCTATTGGGTCATCATCTTCGAAAATGTTCGGTCTCGTCCCACTCGACTCACCAACAAATCTCCCTAAATTACCATAGTTAATTGTATAGGGATCTATGTGGACCTCTCTCGCTCCACTAGGCTCACAATAGTTTTCGAACCCTAAGTTGGGGATACATTGTGTCGCCGCCAGAATATCGGGGGTCACTTGTGGTTGTGAGTTGTTTGGTTCATTCAAATCAAATGCTTCTACACTCACTTGTGGTGGGGCACTATCAAAGTATCTCGGTTCGACCTCAACAAATACTTCGATTGAGTCGTTCCCTTCGTCTGGATCGATATACAATTGTAAATCGTCATCCGTTGTCATTTCAGTGATCATCTCCTTCGTTCTTCCTCCATTTAAAATGTAGGATTTGCAACACACTCTTAGACCAAACTGATTAATATCGACCTCTAAACGTTGATACAACTTCGACAAAAATTGAGCAAAGGACATGTCACGTTTAATTCGAAATACAGTTTTGTGGGCAATACTATATCTCGCTACCCAATCGTCGGGAATTATGTAACCTCCAAAGTACACGTACACTTTAACATTATTTCTAGCCGCCATCAATCTTCAAAAGATTAAGGAAATAATTATTAATTATTGATTTTTTAATTTTATTTTATTTAATAGAACTACAAATCGAATATACAAATTAGACATTAACCATAAAATTAAGCACTATAAAATCACATGTGATATGCAATGTTTAAGTATTTAATAATGGTTCATGAGTAATAACGAAATTTATGTTTTAAGTTTTTAGTGTAAGAAACTTTTTAGTGTAATATATGCATAATTCTTCTGACTGTGACAAATTTGGTCACGAATAAATAAACACACATTATATAATTAAACAATTAATTAAACCCACATGCTATAATTAAATAATTAATTAAATACATATATTATAATTAAACAAATAATTAAACATAGATGCTATAGTTAAATCAATATTTAAACACAAAGTTAATTATTTAATTAATAAACATAAAGAATAATTAAATAAATTATAACCTTATAGATGGACCGGACGACGACGGCGGCGGCGGCTGTAGGGTGGGGCGGCGGCGAGTTGGTCGGACGGCGGTAAACTGACCTCTGACGAGTTGCCGGACAATGGTGGGCTGTTTTTGTTTTTTGTTTTTTTTTGTGAGTTTTTTTTTTTTTTCAAAATGAGGCAATGAACCGGAGAGAGAGGGGAGAGAGAAGAGGGGAGGGGAGAGAGGAGGGTGAGAGAGGGCAGCTGACAATAATTGAGGAGAGAGAGGGGTGGGGTAGCTGGATAATAAATGAGGAGAGAGAGTCGAATTGCCCCAGCCGTTGGATCCGTTATATCAATCTCAACCGCACAAATATTTCATTAAAATAAAACAAAAACATTAATTCAAATTCGAGTTAAAAAAATAATTAATTAATCACCGGCTAAACCGAGTCGCCACGGCACGTGGCAGAAACACTTGGAGTCGCCACGCCACGCGGCGGCACTAATTGGAGTCGCCAGACCACGTGGCGAAAAACCCTACTTTGTTTACACTATCCAAAACGACCCCATTTTATTTACGGATTTAAAAAACTGCATTAGAAAAAAAAACGCCCCTTAAAAGAGAGAATCCCCCAACATCTTTGGTCGTGTACGTCCACGAAGTCGAGCATAGCTTTCTCATCCGGACTCCAAATCAACTGGTTCCGGCGGCATTATAAAGCTATTTCAGCTGGCTACAATTCCTGTCTAACGGCAAAAATCCAAATTCGGACTCGAACATGTTCAAAATTGGATTCCAAAAGCGATCATGAAAATACGTACTACAGTTCGAGGACATGAATGCGCATCAAGAAACGTGCACAAAAACTCTCGCTAGAAAATACACACATAAGTAAGAGTACAAAAGCATGCACAAAAGTACTCACGCAACAGTGCATTCGCTAAAAGGATCATGAAAACACAAACTACAATCCTAGGACATTAATACAATACAACAAACATGCAAAAGCACACTCGCTCAAATGGACATGCACAAACGTACATGTAAAGAAACATGCGCAAAAGTGCATTCGCAACAACGTTCTTAAAAACACGAACTACAATTCTAGGACTTTAATACGCATCAACAACCAACAGCAAAAACACAAGATAAAAAAGATACAGTGGAGTGTAGAATTAAAACACTATGTTTATGTTTACGTGGATTTTTTTTTTTTGGATTAATTTATATTTCTGTTTGAATTGGTGGATTTGGTATCTTATAGGTACAAATCAAAAAATAGGTGTCCAGGAAGCAGAAATGATCAAAGAGTAAGAAAAGAGTTGCAATTTGGAAAATAAAATCAAATTAAAAGAGAGAATCCCCCAACATCTTTGGTCGTGTACGTCCACGAAGTCGAGCATAGCTTTCTCATCCGGACTCCAAATCAACTGGTTCCGGCGGCATTATAAAGCTATTTCAGCTGGCTACAATTCCTGTCTAACGGCAAAAATCCAAATTCGAACTCGAACATGGTCAAAATTGGATTCCAAAAGCGATCATGAAAATACGTACTACAGTTCGAGGACATGAATGCGCATCAAGAAACGTGCACCAAAACTCTCGCTAGAATACAAAAGCATGCACAAAAGTACTCACGCAAAAGTCTATTCGCAAAAAGGATCATGAAAACACAAACTACAATCCTAGGACATTAATACAATACAACAAAGATGCACAAGCACACTCGCTCAAATGGACATGCACAAACGTACATGTAAAAAAACATGCGCAAAAGTGCATTCGCAACAACGTTCTTAAAAACACGAACGTCAATACTAGGACTTTAATACGCATCAACAATCAACAGCAAAAACACAAGATAAAAAAGATACAGTGGATTGTAGAAATAAAACACTACGTTTACGTTTACGTGGATTTTTTTTTTTTTGGATTAATTTATATTTCTGTTTGAATTGGTGGATTTGGTATCTTATAGGTACAAATCGAAAATTAGGGGTCCAAGAAGCAAAAATGATCAAAGAGTAAGAAAAGAGTTGCAATTAGGAAAATAAAATCAAATTAGAAGAGAGAATCCCTCAACATCTTTGGTAGTGTACGTCCATGAAGTCGAGCATAACTTTCTCATCCGGTCTCCAAATCAAATGGTTTTGGCGGCATTAGAAAAAGCTTTTTCAGCTGGCTACAATTCCTGTGTAACGGCAAAAATTCAAATTCGGACTCGAACATGGTAAAAATTGGATTCCAAAAGCGATCATGAAAATACGTACTACAGTTCGAGGACATGAATGCGCATCAAGAAACGTGCTTAAAAACTCTCGCTAGAAAGATATGCACATAAGTAAGAGTACAAAAGCATGCACATAAGTACACACGCAACAGTGGATTCGCAAAAAGGATCATGAAAACACAAACTACAATCCTAGGACATTAATACAAATCAACAAAGATGCACAAGCACACTCGCTCAAATGGACATGCACAAACGTACATGTAAAAAAACATTCGCAAAAGTGCATTCGCAACAACATTCTTAAAAACACGAACTACAATACTAGGACTTTAATACGCATCAACAAACCAGAGCAAAAACACTAGATAAAAAAGATACAATGAAGTGTCGAAATAAAACACTACGTTTATGTTTATGTGGATTTTTTTTTGGGATTAATTTATATTTCTGTTTGAATTGGTGGATTTGGTATCTTATAGGTACAAATCAAAAATTAGGTGTCCAGGAAGCAAAAATGCAATTAGGAAAATAAAATCAAATTAGAAGAGAGAATCCCTCAACATCTTTGATAGTGTACGTCCACGAAGTCGAGCATAGCTTTCTCATCCGGACTCCAAATCAACTTGTTCCGGCGACATTATAAAGCTATTTCAGCTGGCTACAATTCCTGTCTAACGGCAAAAATCCAAATTTGTACTCGAACATGGTCAAAATTGGATTCCAAAAGCGATCGTGAAAATACGTACTACAGTTCGAGGACATGAATTCGCATCAAGAAACGTGCACAAAAACTCTCGCTAGAAAGATACACACATAAGTAAGAGTACAAAAGCATGCACAAAAGTACTCACGCAAAAGTGCATTCGCAAAAAGGATCATGAAAACACAAACTACAATCCTAGGACATTAATACAATACAACAAACATGCAAAAGCACACTCGCTCAAATGGACATGCACAAACGTACATGTAAAGCAACATGCGCAAAAGTGCATTCGCAACAACGTTCTTAAAAACACGAACTATAATACTAGGACTTTAATATGCATCAACAACCAACAGCAAAAACACAAGATAAAAAAGATACAGTGGAGTGTAGAAATAAAACTCTTCGTTTACGTTTACGTGGATTTTTTTTTTTGGATTAATATATATTTCTGTTTCAATTGGTGGATTTGGTATCTTATAGGTACAAATCGAAAATTAGGTGCTTAGGAAGCAAAAATGATCAAAGAGTAAGAAAAGAGTTGCAATTAGGAAAATAAAATCAAATTAGAAGAGAGAATCCCTCAACATCTTTGGTAGTGTACATCCATGAAGTCGAGCATAACTTTCTCATCCGGACTCCAAATCAAATAGTTTTGGCGGCATTAGAAAGCTTTTTCAGCTGGCAACAATTCCCGTCTAATGACAAAAATCCAAATTCGGACTCGAACATGGTCAAAATTGGATTCCAAAATCGATCATGAAAATACGTACTACAGTTCGAGGACATGAATGCGCATCAAGAAACGTGCACAAAAAATCTCGCTAGAAAGATACGCACATAAGCATGCACAAAAGTACTCACGTAAAAGTGCATTCGCAAAAAGGATCATGAAAACACAAACTACAATCCTATGACATTAATACAAATCAACAAACATGCACAAACACACTCGCTCAAATGGACATGCACAAACGTACATGTAAAAAAATATGCGCACAAGTACATTCGCAACAACGTTCTAAAAAACACGAAATACAACACTAGGACTTTAATACAAATCAACAAACATGCACAAGCACACTCGCTCAAATGGAAATGCACAAACGTACATGTAAAAAAACATGCGCAAAAGTGCATTCGCAACAACGTTCTTAAAAACACGAACTACAATACTAGGACTTTAATACGCGTCAACAAACAACTCCAAAAACACTAGATAAAAAAGATACAGTGGAGTGTAGAAATAAAACTCTACGTTTACGTTTACGTGGATTTTTTTGTTTGGATTAATTTATATTTCTGTTTGAATTGGTGGATTTGTTATATTATAGGTACAAATCGAAAATTAGGTGTCCAGGAAACAAAAATGATCAAAGAGTAAGAAAAGAGTTGCAATTAGGACATGCACAAACGTAGATGTAAAAAAACATGCGCAAAAGTGCATTCGCAACAACGTTCTTAAAAACAAGAAATACAACACTAGGACTTTAATACGCATAACCAAACAATAGCATACAAAAGATACAGTGGAGTGTAGAAATAACACTTAACGTTTACGTTTACGTGGAGTTTTTTATGGATTAATTTATATTTTTGTTTTAATTGGTGGATTTAGTATCTTCTTATAGGTACAAATTGATAATTAGGTGTCCATGAAGCAAAAATGATCAAAGAGTACGAAAAGAGTTGCAATTAGGAAAATAAAATCAAATTAGAAGAGAGGATCCCTCAACATCTTCGGTAGTGTCCACGAAGTCGAGCATAACTTTCTCATCCGGACTCCAAATCAACTGGTTCCGGCGGCATTAGAAACCTATTTTAGCTGGCTACAATTCCTCTCTAATATCAAATTTCCAAATTCGGACTCGAACATGGTCAAAATTGGATGCAAAAAGTGATCATGAAAATACGTGCTACAGTTCGAGGACACGAATGCGCATCAAAAAACGCGCACTAAAACACTCGCTACAAAAGATACGCACGTAAGTAAAAGTACAAAAGCATGCACAGAAGTACTCACGCAAAAGTGCATTCGCAAAAAGGATCACGAAAACACAAACTACAATCCTATGACATTAGTACAAATCAACAAACATGCACAAACACACTCGCTCAAATGGACATGCACAAACGTACATGTAAAAAAATATGAGCAAAAGTG